GTTTCTGCTTTGCCTACTCTGATGGGTCCATGGGCCATCTGCACTATAATCACCGATATGCTTGTCAAAATGCAAATTCCTTTGCTCAGTCAGAGGTCTGCTAAATCAGAATTGGGGATTGAGGCTCCAAATCCAGATCTTGGCAAACCCCCTAGGTAAATTATGTCCATTAGGGCTTGAAAATCACTGACTTGGTCCTTCTAATTTTCAACTTCCTTGTTCTTTTGCTTGGGTACCGAGCTCACCTTTCTCTCCTGACTCAGCAATCCTGTGGGCAATCTTTTGGGAAATAGTCTGGCTCATCTTGGCCTCAGGACACCCTCACCTTTGTGCATCATTTTCACAGATAATCAAGCAATCCTGCCTCCACACTCCTACCTCCAATATCTTGATAAGTCTGGTCCTATGGGCAGGACATGGATACCTCAATTGCTAGTTGTAAACTTATGACATTATCCTTTCCAGTGACATTTGTCTACATAAAAGAAGCCTTTATCCTTCAAGGAAATGCATATCCAGGGAATGTTATGCATTCAAGACTAAACATGCAAGATTAATTTGAGACAGAAATTCTTGATGAGCACTCTTCAAATCATGTTTAGAATCTGGCTGCATATCTTATCTATTGTTGGGATGATGATCTAGTGGACAGCCATGGTAGTTTGCTGCTCAGAGCCATGACGGAAATACTGCTCTCAGGTTCCAGAGCCGTGGTGCTCATTTTACTCACACACATTCTACTTACAGAAAGGCTTTGAGGTCGCAAAGGGGAGAGTATTACCAAAGCCTGAGGGTAAGCATCTTCAGTGTGTATGCAGACCACACGTGCCCAGGAAGGAATGAAAACATGTTTGTACGTTTTCCATGGGAATGTTTGTACTCCACATCTTGCCCTATTTCTTGACTTAGGTGTAGACCTTCCTCAGCTAACAAAACCTCATCCTTCTATGAATGAGAACGCCCCTTCATCATGAATTTGGTGTTTTTACTACCATAGATGTTTTTAATGACCTTCTATAGCTTTAACTTTTCTGTGTACTTGAGGTGAATTATGATTTTATTCCAAAGTCGTTTCCAGTTTCCCTACAGTCATTCTGGTTCTCCCAGGGTTCATCTGCCTCTCACCGTGCCCTGGTGATTTACAAACTCTTTGTTCCTCTTTTATAAACAACGCAATTTCTCTTTTGAGGATATTCAGGTTTAATTGCACCTCTTATTAAATGCACACAGAATGTTTTATATATGATTTGTGGGGATCTTGAAGGGGACTTGTGGATTCCATGGAGCTTATCCACATAGCCCAGTTGAAGATGCCTCCATTTGGGTGTTTCTGATACTAACTGGTGTGGGTATTGGATAATTGTCTATGCTCTCCTCAAAACTACCTCCTTCAATGCCTTTACAATCTTTGCCACGGAAAGTCTATTATCAGCTGTTCATTGCTCTTTCAGTGGAGCTGCTCCAGGGGTGAGAGGGCACAGAGATGACAGGTGGCTCATGGGAGAGGAGTCAGGTTTCCAAGGCTCAAGGGATTACCATGGATATTCCAAATCCTACCAAGCCTTTCTTGACAAGTGTCTTCAAACACAGGGGACCAAATCTCAGGTGGTAGTCATGGAGATATGGCCCAGATCTTCCTCAAGAGAGGGTAACAGTGGAGAGTGTAGTCAGCTGACTGCCTCCGGTTGCAGGACCTCGGGACTCACATGGTGTTCAAGCACAGACCGTGTTCCTAGTCAGTGGCTGAGCATGACGGGTACCAGGTCTGGCCATCTCTGCCAACGTGGGCCTTCTCTCTGGGCAATCTCAAACCACACTGTTGGGCCAGTCGAGGTGCTGCACCACAGTCCAAGGCTCTTCCTACCAGACCCACCCACCCTATTTTCACAGTTGTCAGATCTTCATGGTGGACTGAAGGCTTTCCCTGACTACTTCTGCTTCCTCTCCCCTTTATTCCTTTCTCTTTCCCAGGCATTCTCCCCTTCGGACCCCAATTAATCTCTTGCACTTATAACTCCGCCTTGGTTTCTGCATCTTGGACAACTTGAACTGATATACTCTATTCACAGGTGATATTGCTGACCATTTCACACAATCCCACCCACCTTCCCAGATCTCCACCTGGAAACAGTTTTCACATCTTGCCAACTCATTTCATCATAGAGTTAGGAATTTGGAGAACATTGGGCTCCATCCTTTCAGGTAGGTGAGTTATTAATGTTTGAAATACCATCCCATTTAGATTCCTATAGGGTGTTTAGGTTCCCTAGAGAAGAGACAAAGGCATGAGATTGTCAGACACATACTTTATTTTTGTGTAGATATTCTTTCCAGGATCCCAGACTGAAAAACATGGAAACCTCAGGAATGACTCTCTCCACTTACACTCCTTACCCCTAAAATCAGGCCAGTGAGATCATGAGGACTTTCCCCCCAGGATTCCACATAGTCCTAAGTCTTAGCATTCTGGTGGAGGATAAGGAGAAGGACTCTTGTTCTCTAGTTCCTCCCATAAAGGTCCCCACCTCCATCCCTCAGTTACTGTAGCCTATGGTTTGTGAGTCTGTGGTTTACATCAGAGCTCCTCCCTGAGGTAGAATGAAGAGGAGGAAGAGATTGGCACAATACAAACATCACAATGACAGCAACTGGATCCCACATTTTGGAAGCAGCAAGACACAGGTGGTCCCCTGGTGTCTCGTATTCTATTACTACTGGACAGTACATCGAGGAAACACACTCAGGAGATACACACCAGGTGACACGTTTCTATATTTAGAATGAGACCCATGCACAGTGAAAATTATGGTGTTCCTCACACGTGGGAGCTGACATTTTAATAAGTTAAATAGACGTTGGAGAGCGAGTGAGAGGAAGGCTTACTGGCACTCTCTGAGGGTATGTTTCACCATATTGGATTGCCCAGGACCATCCCATATTTCCTCTTGTTGTGCACAGAGACAATGCCATTGAACTACATCCTTTTAGGCCCCCTGGGCTGCCTGGTGGCTCCCTTTAGAATGATCTCAGAGAACTCTCACTACAAAGGCTCTCTAAAGGTTTCAGTCTTTGGCTTGACTATCCATGTTGAGTGTGGGTTTTTAGATCCTGTGAAGAATCTGCCTCTCCGATGCCTCCATGTCTGCTGGGCAGCCTGGACTCACTAGGACTGGTGAGTTAGCAATGGCCAATATTGTAGACTCCTCAAGACCTGTGTGTCCCTAACTCAGGGTGAAGTTCAGAGCAGGTGCTCAATAAATCCTTTGGAGTTCAAGTCTCACCTTCTCTTCCATAGATGGGATGTCCCCAATCCCTTGACACTTTCTTCTTAGGTACTTCCCATAATCATGTCAGTTATTTCCATCCTTCTGAAGTGAATAGCCATATGTGGCATGATTCTCTATCGGAAGAATGACTAACGCTTGGGGCACTGACTTTTGCTGCCCCTAAATTTTGTCTTCCATTTATATATCTGCATTGAACAGGTTTCAGTTAGTTTATTTAAGACTTTCCATGAAGTTTTGCAGAATATGGTTCTTGGGGTTTTCTGGTCTATACTGTTGCTTCTTTTCTGGCTTATACTGTTGCTGCTTCTCCATTACCATCTGGTAAAGGTTGTAAATCCTGTGAGTAGCATTGTTCTCCCCTTAACACTATGGACACAGCACATGTGCATCCATTATTCAGACTATGAGGAGGACATTCATGGATGTTACACAAAGTTTCTGCTTCCAGCTACATCTAGACAAAGCACTGATCTGTGAGACAGAAAGAAATGGCATGCTCACTTTTTGGAAACTCCAAAGCTATATAAGGACATAAAGAATTCAGTTAATGGCTCTCAGAAGACTGACTGTCCTTTTGGGTTGGTGGGCCATTCTACCCCTTATAGACAGGAGACTGGCAAAGTGATGGGACAGTAAAGGGAGATTCAGAGAGTCTAAAGGGAAGATGCAAGGTGTCCTCTTTCCAGGCATACAGCTGCAGGGGGCAGCCTCCTCATTCACTTCATGTGTGAACACATGCCTTATCTAGTATAAAGGTGAGAATTTGGGCTAGGATCCCTGCTGCAAAATACCCCAAAGGCCATCTTCCCTGATGGTGTTCTCCAGCTGTGGAATTCAGCCTGCTTAAGACTGATGGAGAGATGAAGGCTTTGGCAACGAAGTTCTCTGCTCCATCAAAAGCCAAAACCTTCCAGGAGAAGGAACATGCTCAGGGTTTTAGGGTAAATCAGAGAAGGTTAAGATGAATAGTTACACATGGTCTTAGCAGTGTCTACGTCTCTAGGAGCTGGGTCATGAGACTAATGTCATGAGACTCACTGCTCCTGTTCTTTCTGAGACCACCAGTTTTTGGCAAAACAAATAAAAAACTCATAATCCTTAAACCATGGGATGGCAAGATTTTTTTTTTTTTTTTTTGAGTTGGAGTCTTACTCTGTTGCCCAGACTAGAGTGCAGTCGCATGCTCCTGGCCATCCCAGTGTCGATCTGCCGGGCTCCAGCGATCCTTCCACCTCAGCCTTCCAAGTAGCCAGAACTACAGGTGCACACTATCACGCCTGGCTGATTTTTTAAAATTTTATTGTGGAAACAAGGTCTCGCCAAGTTGCCCGGGCTGGTCTTGAACCCACAGGCTCAGGCAATCCACTCGCCTTGGCCTCCCAAAGTGCTGGGATTACAGGCTGAGCCACTGAGCCTGGCTGGGATGTTAAAATTTAAAGGGACATCTAGATTTTCTAGTTCAGCTCCTTTGTTTATAAATAAGGAAAAAGGCTCAGACCGACTAAGTAGGGTGCAAGTCTCTTGGTTCGTGGTCTGTAACAGACACCAGTGGGTGTCAGCGTACATATTCTGCCCACATCGGTTGCTCGGGGCAGTCACTGAGGACATAATACAGAAGAACCTAGGCTCTTGAGCCTGTGGTGTATAAATGTACTGAAATACTGAGATGCCAAAGAGGGGCAGACATATGTCTTCTTTTCACAGATGCTTAGAAGACAGGCCTAAATCTTTCATTCAGGTGTTATGTGGTATCTTTTGTTCACCCTGCCAAGCGCAGGCTGCTGTGATGAGGGCTACCAGCTGCAGGAGGCCAAACTGAGTGTGACTAAGAACAACCTTATTGAAATAAGATGGGCTCCATGCAAATGGGTCTGTTAGGTCTGTAGCTATGCTGTAGATTTCACCCGAAACGAGTACCCACGTGCAGCCAAAGTCACTTCCAGAATCATGGAATGGGCTCTGGGAAAAACCCAGATCAAGCTTCTAATTTTACAGGTTCAGCAGAGTTCAATGATTTGCTTTAAGAACACCACATGGGCATGGCAAAGACGAAAGGATACAGAATTGTTGGCTCCAGGAGGGAGTGTTTTCTCTAAATTGTTCTGACCCTTTCCACGAGCTCCAGTGTTTGGGTGTTTCTGATGGTCTCCGCGTCAAGACGTATTCATGCATGAAGTGAATCAGGACAAAGACGGTGGGGGTTGTGCCTGCTGCAAACCCAATGGCTTAGGAGAGCACGCTGGAGGAGAAGCTGAAGCTCTCGGTCATAGTCTTGGAGTCGCTGCGCGAGGAGTCGTTGGAGGTCAGGTCCAGCGATGAGGGCGTGGCCTTGGGACCATCCTCCAGCTCCTCCTCATGGGCCCCCACCACTGTGGAGATGGTGGTCTCCAGGCGGCTGACTTTATACACACTGCCCTGGGTCTGGAGGTATTGGGTAGATTTCATTTCGAGCCCCTCGTAGTCGCCGGCGCTGATGAAGGGGCAGCACCGGAAGGCGTGCTTGAAGCCCAGACGAAACCTGGAGAGACAGATGAAGAGGTGACCCTTGGGGACAGCCTGCTCAGAGGGCCATTCCACCATTGCATCCACTTTTAAGCACATGGACACCCCCACACTGACTCTGTTATTATTTTTAAAATTAACTGACAGCTAGAGATGCTGAAGCTAAGAAAGATTTAAGGGTGAGTCATCAAGGTCAAATCCAAGACTAAGAAAAGCAAATCCAAGACTAGGACCTAGGTTCTGCCTCCTCTGATGTAGGGTCAACCGACTTTGGGTCAATTCACCATCATCAACAACAAAAAATTCATCAGTAGTCTACTATGTGCACGGTCCTTTGCTGGTCGCTGGGCAGTAAAAACACTCAGCGCTTTCCCTCAAGTAGCCCACTGACGGAAGGAGGACTTTCTACCAATATTCCTTCAGTGTGCCTCAGTTTCCCTGTTGGTTACACAGACAGAATCAGCCTTACCTTAAGGAGATGCTAACAGGTTTAACCTAAAAGCATTTAAGCAAGTCAGCAAACTCTTAGAAGAAGGATCTGTGAGTTAGACTAACAGAGACCATTTGGACAAGTACAAGAGAATGTTTTCCCCCAAACTCGTAGCACCTGAGCCTCTCATTTACAGAAGACACTTTCCAGACTGAGGACTAAAGACTGTAAAGACTGTAACAAGAATTTTGTTCCTCCCCTCCTGCCTGCTTTCTCACCCAGAAGCTGGGAGGGTGCTCTGGGTGATAGACTGTGCTGCAACCATGGCATCCCAGCTCCCTTCTGAGAGTCCTCTGCATACTACAGTGAATTCCCTATTGCTGACCATCCTTCCCCATGGGCTCTCCCTTGTTGTACTTGTCTGAGGTTGGCTTCTGTTGTGGAATGGCTTTCCCAACCCAGCTGACCAAGTAAGGGCAGGAATCAGGCCCTTGAGGCTCTGACTTCTTTTTTGCTTACCCTGTCCTGCTGGAATTGCGTGTAAAGCTGCCAGATAAGATGGAATGGGAAGAGGGAAATGGGAGATCTGAGAAGGGAGGATGTTCTCTGGGGAGCGGTACTTGAGTGCCACCTCTCTTTGTAGGCCCAGCCTCCTGTGCACTGGATCCATAAAGCAGAAAGAGTGAACTCACAGGCCATGGCCTGGAGGCTGGATCCAACTTGCAGTTGTGCTTTGTATACATCAATCACAGAGATTTTTTAATTCATGCCTCCAACTTAGTTGCTAGTGTTTAAAAGTCAGAAGACTTCACAAAAAAATATTGATTTCTGGTTCCTCTTAGAAAAGAAAAAAAAAATCAGTTCACCCTGCGCTCACATTCCTGCAAGGCGATAACCAGCAGGGACTGAGTAGTGTGGCAATTAGTTTGCTGCAGTCCCTACCATTCCCTTTTGTATTATAGCTGGTTTTGCTCATTTAGGGTAGCTGCTGGGTCACAGAGTAGACAGATGGTCTTGCAGCCCCTGGTGAAAACACGGGGGATGGGGTCCTCACCTGTCATTGAGGCAGCAGTAGATAATGGGGTTGTACATGGTGGAGCTCATGGCCAGCCACATGATGGCCAGGTAGACCTGCTGGATAAACTTCTTCAGGTAGAGATCCGGGTTGATGTAGGGCAGGAGGAAGAAGATGTGGAAGGGCAGCCAGCAGATGGCAAAGGTGCACACCACAACTATCATCATTTTGACCACCTGGCAAGAGGATGAGACAGGTGAGACCCACCAGCACATCCTCCCGCTCTCATGGCTGCTTTCTTTCTCCTCCCACCCCCTCATTGTGTGTAGGATTTAAAATAGCCCCTTTCAGAACACCTCTAGACTGTTGGTGGGAGTGTAAACTAGTGCAGCCTCTATAGAAAACAACGTGGAGATTCCTAAAAGATCTAAATATCAACCTTCCATATGACCCTGCAGTTCCCCTACTGGGAATATACCTGGAAGAACTCAAATCACTCTATAAAAAAGATACCTGCACACATATGTTTATCACAGTATTGTTCACAGTAGCAAGAACATGGAACCAACTGTGCTGCCCATCAAAAGATAACTATGTGGTATAAATATATACATGATGGAATATTATGCAGCCATAAAGAAGAACAGAATCATGAACTTCACAGCAACCTGGATGGACTTAGGATCTATAGTACTGAGTGATCTTTCACAGAAACAAAGAACTGAGTACCACATGTTCTCACTCATAAGTGGACCTTGAACAATTATCGTAATACTATAAGAAAAGGATTGGTAGTAGTGGGAAACTGCCAGGAGGGGAGTGGGAAGCCGGATTGGCAGTAGTGGGAATCTGCCTGGGGAAGGGGGGGCACACCTCATCAACAAGGGTACCTGCATAATGAACATTTGTGTACCTAACCCTGAATTGTACCCCACATCTTTAAAATAAAAAAAATTAAAAGGAAAATAACCTCTTTCTTTCTTTTTTTTTTCTGAGTTGGAGTCTCACTCTGTCGCCCAGACTGGAGTGCAGTGGCTGCTCCCGGCCACTGC